GAGAGAGAGAGAGAGAGAGAGAGAGAGAGAGAGAGAAGGGAGAGGTGGGTTGTGTGGCACCGGCAGCCCATCGCACACATAGTCCACAGCTATTCTCTCTTCCAGTGACTTACAAAACACTATTCTCTTTAATTAACTTTAAATTCAAACCCCATTTGCCTTCCGCCCCAACTTTTGCTTGTCTTCTAATTAACTTTATCACTGATCACTGCAAAGGCCTACCTGTGCTCTCCTGTCTCCTAACCATTATTGCGGTCTACGCTCACCCTATTATCCATGTGGTGGTTGTAGTGGTGAGCGTATGCCTCCCAGGCCTATGTCGATGCCGTGCACTCATGTGACGGTCAATCACTATTTTAAAGCTTACGTTCAACACAATCAATAACTTACTATTTCTACACATTTCTCGTTGTCTTAAATTATAAGACCAAAGAAGATCACACAAAAACTACTTCTAGTTATTTATTACTGAAAAACATTTAATAAATGTTGAAAATAAAGAGAGAAATCAAATAAGTTATATTACCATGTACAGTACATTACAGCCGACTACAGTACAGCATATCTTAAATGAATGCCTTCAAAATGAATACAATTTGTTTATATCAATGTTATGCTTACTATTAAATTAGTTTATATTTACATCTAATATAATTTGATATTTAATTAAATAGAGAGGAACTGGCGATGAGAGTGGATTTGACTGAAGCACGAGTTCAAGTGAGTACTTATTTTTATTGACTCTACATTTTCTCAAAACAACATTTCGTTTAATTTAGTTTTGAGTGTATTTTTATTTCCATTATTCATGTCTCTCATAGTTATCTAATGTTATCTGTTGTCACAATAATTGAAATTTATTGACCAATGATTGCTCCCATTGTGTGTCTGGGAATCAATTCTTGGGTCAATTCTTGAGACAGTTTTGTAGTGAATTTCTTATCAATAATTGAGGTAATGGTTGGCTTAATGGGTGACAACGCCTATACAAGTATTGCCGTTCCCTCACTGTTCCCGTCTCTTCACTATTACCTGTATTTGAATGCTTACTGAGTCTGAGCTTTAAGTAAAAGTTATATAAATAAGTCATTTGATTGCAAACTGGCTCTCAATAGCAGTCATTTCAATTGCAATGAATTGATAAATGAATTGTCTTATCATTAATGTTCTGAAAGCATATCTTAATTTTATTGAAGAAATTAATGCTATTTTCCTTGCATTTGATGCGAGCATTGATTTGTTGCCCCAAATGAGACATTATTAATATGAGTGTTCATTACATTAAGAAAAAAGTCTTAATTTCTTAAGTGAGTCTATCTGTACACAAATGGCAATCATTATGTCATATACACCACTCTATAGCACATCCGATCCCATCAGACAGTCTGATGAATGAATACCTGTGACGACGACTGACTGCCGTTTATATCGCACTCCCATTACATCGCGTATCAAATGTTTGTTACCATATATTTAGGCTCAGAAAAAGACTTTACAAAATATTTCTGATTACAATTTCTGGCTCTATATATACCTGTATAGCACTTGGCATTCAAATGCTTAACATTAAATGCTTCATTCAAATGATTTATTCTGTGCTTTACTTTGCAATTAATGATAAAACACATTGAGATAAACACTCAAAACTCCATTAAATTTTTAATATAATTATTTATTTTGACAAAATATTTGGAATAAAAAATGCTTTGAAAAGTCTAAACTATTTCTTCACTCGTGCGGCCAAATAAAAGGTGTGGTTTCAGAACCGGAGGGCTAAGTGGCGAAAGCAAGAGAAGTCGACCGGTGCCGGCGGTAACGCAACTCATGGCTACAATCCGTACGGCGCGTCCGCACAGTCGGGCGGAACAGTCCTGCCGTCACAAGTTATGGCCAACAATATGAACGCAATGCACGGCTCGGGCGGCGGACACCACAGCTCGGCGTCGGCGGCGGCGCTGTCGGCGGTGGCCAACAATCCGGGCGCTCTGTTTGGACCGCACGCGGCGTTGGCGGCCGCGTATCGCAAGCCAATGATGGATCATCACCCGGGACTCAAGTCGGGCGCCTATTTGCAAACTCCGGCGATGTTTAGTCCCAATTCATTCAACTTCGCAAACGCGGCCGCCTTTCCATTCCGTGAGTTGAGCGCCGCATATCCGCAGCTCTTTCCGGGCAATCTGTCCAATCCATCCGCACAAGCGATCTCTCCGTTCGCCAATCCGTTCCTCTCGCCCTACGCTAACGCCTCCAACTCTTTCCAAAGTCTTCTCGCATCCCTTTCCTCATCTCATAACAGGCCTAAGATCGGAGACGAGGCCGGACTCCGGCCCTCTCCTCACTTAATGGCTGTTCAGCAGAATTGCATCGACAGACAGACACCGCCGCAACGGGTGTCCAACAACTCGAGCCCTCCCAACGCCGACAATGCGGTGCCGAGCGATCGGCGCAACACAAGTATAGCGGCTCTCCGTCTGAAAGCACGCGAACACGAGATCGCAGTCTTGAGAAGCAAAGACCCCAACAGTTCCAGTAGTAGTGAATCCTCTCTAAACAATAGCACCGATAATAACATTTAATTACCATTTATTGCCTCAAAACAAAAACCTATTCACAATTTTTGTAGCTTTTGATAGAAATTGAACCAAAAATTATACTATTATATAACATAACAGTAATAAATAATATCCTATTGAATGCAATAAAATGAGTGCAAAAACACAAGGCATTCAATGCATGTATTTATATGAATGTATGAATTGAATTGAATTTTCACACCTTTTCTGTGATCCTATCAATCCGTCCGTTGATTAATAGAAGCGAAACAACAAAATACTTATCATTACATTATTATTATTATACCTGTAAATGAGTTACTTATTAATATTTCATATCATTAATTAATATTTATTAATCGATTGTAAGTTAAATATTTTTTCGCCTGTTTTTTATTTATATAAGAATTTCATTTTAAAACACGAAAAATCTCTCTTATTTTATAATCATTTTTATTTCGATATATAAAACACGCCTAAAGTAATGATTATTATAATTATTCTTATTATTATTATTGATCTAATTTTTATTTAAAGATAAAGTCGTTTTTGTAATATAAGATAAAATGAACAAATTTTTGCTAAAACAAACTCAATGCAAAAAATGTATGTTTTTTCGTTTATATTAAATATAAATTAGAGGCAAATAAAATAAAATTACTGTAAATTAAAGCAATTTTTGCATTTGCTTTTTTGTTTGTTATTTCAAATGATAAAAATTAATTAAATATTTTTTAGTTATAGTTTTATTGCTCTTAATTAATGCTCACTTCGGATGAAAGGGAGATATAGTCTGACACTTCTTCTCGTATCAAATGAGCAAAAATATTGTTGTTTTTTCGGTACGACTTTTACGCACGAAATATAATTGTTATTCAACTTTGCTTTTAAATGAATGACTTTTTTCTCTATTTCATTCATTCATCCCTTTTTGGCTGCGATTATGACTTCTCTTTCGATAGATTACCGTATATTTCATGACTTTATTTAATTCAAGTCACTATTAGATAGTTATAGTAAATACAACAACAAAAAACAAACCTATGATATCTTTTATGACCCCTAATTTTGACAGTCGTATCGCTCGTGTATTAGCCTTATATTCCTGTAATAAAACTTAGATTTTTAGTCTTAAAAAAAGTTCAAAAAAGCAAAGAAAATGATTGAAATGAAAGACAGCGAAAGAGAAAACGCAAACCGAGAGTCTCTTAGAGGAGAAGAAATCGTTTTTCACAACTAATTTCTTGTGGGTTTGTGTCAGTCATTTGGTAACAAATGCTATGAAAAGACACATAATGTGGTGTCTGTTGTGCACAAAACACACACATCGAGAGATAGATAGAGAGAATCACTATTTAATCGCATCCAAACTCGCATTGGGTTTTGGCATTTGGTCTGCAATTTACTATAATTTAATGTCTCATAATATTGGCTCAAATTTTGTCTTCTCGTAATAGAGGTTCGCATCAATGATTTAAAAGACCTTTTTTAAGGCCTAATAAGCCATCATTTGAGTGGATGTGCGAGGAGTTCATTGAAGAAAAAATAAGACACAGTATAGTAATAGACAGCGTCTCTGAACGCACGCCAAACACCAGACCAAACACGAGATTATAATTCAGACAATTTCCCAAAACTTAACGATTAAATTGTTTTCTTAGTCGACAAAAAAGGGAACCAATTTTCGGCGCAGAAATGATTTCTCGACTTTTAGATTATGTTTTCATTCATAAGAAGTGTATTAATAGAAAAAAGTAAAGAAGAAGAAGTAGTTTAAGAATCGCGAATATAAAGCGTTATTTACACTCCACTGTAAATATAAGTTATAATTTATTTGATATTATTTTATTCTCCTTTATTTTATTTGCAATTTGGATGTAATGTGTTTTTCCTTATGCTTAAGACTCCTATTCTGAGCGCTTCAATGAATATATTTAATGATCGTATCATTTACTGGATGTGGGCTTCAATGTCATCAACGATTATGTTTTATAAGACTTATAATAATGTTCACAACACTGTTGTGCCAAACAATTGGGCTTTTCATACAAAATATTAACTTTTTAAATATGTTTAGTGAGAGGACAACGCGCCCTAAATTAGCCCTCAAAATACTGGTCGTAAAGTATTACTACAAAACAATTCAACACAAATTCTGGTTTATTACGATATATATTGTGCATAGTTTTGGTGTTTTGCTCTTTCATTCATGAAATTGTATAATAAAAGACAAATTTTCAAGAGTTTAAGCACTTTGTGGACAAACATTATTCGTTAGACTTTTCCTTTGTTACAAATATACGCTATTTTTATTATTATTTATTATATTTAATGGAATAACAATTAATTCTTTGGTTGCAATTAAAATATAATATATTCATGTGATATGTTTTCGGGTAAATATAATATAATACATATTAACTAATATCGCATTAATTTTTAATTATAATAACATTATTAAAACATATCTCGCATCTGAAATGCGCTCAGAAATAACCGAAAGCAACAAAATATTAATTTAAACTCATTTGGTATAAAGAATGGGTGAGATTTATTGATAACATAAAAATAACAAATAAATTCATTGCTTAATTACATTATCTGTATATTTAATTACAATTATTACTTATTACAGCATTTTTGTTGGCATAATATATTACACACACAATGGGAATAATGGGCTCTGTTTTTGTATTCTTAATGAAAAACCACATAATCTCTCCATATATTCGCTGTTTTGCCAAATGAAATGTTTTGCATAACTTATTGTATGAGTTTTAGGCATTAATTCTGGTGACAGTGTATTTGGTGAGCAGCAAAAAAATCAAACAAAAACAAACGGGCACTAAATAAATGGCCACAACAGTGGCTATTTTTTGCCACTGGCTCTCTAATAGTCATTAAAAATAATTTTAATTTTGCTAATTATGTCTGAATTAAAATTTATTTCCTAAAAAAGGCATTAAAACCTTTTTTCATTTGGAGGCGACGCTAACTTTTATTCACTCAATTCGTATGCAATTATTTTTTACACTGAATAACAATTATTCGCTTTGCGTTTAATTATTTGTTTCATAAAATGTTTTGTAGACATCAAAGATAATTAACAATTATTGCATGAATGCACTGCTTAACAAAATTACACAATTCGTACGTTTAATACTTATTTTACACAAAAGTAATATATTTTTTTCTCAATTGATTTTCTCGTGAAATGAAAGATAAGAGTGAATTGAGAGACAGAGAGACCATGTATTAGATGAAGGAGAAGAAGTCAGAGCCGAAAAGTGATGCAAAAAAGTCATCTTAAAAAAACCAAAACAATTTATTTCTCTTTCATTTGTTTCGTGTGTTTTTGTCTCTTAAAATGTTTTAAATTATACGATGGTTTTGATTGAATTAAATTTTTGCTTTTCATAGCAATTACTTTGTGGATTTGATGTCGGTTCGCACCTCTCTCTCTCTCTCTCTCAATTCACTCTTATCTTTCATTTCACGAGAAAATCAATTGAGAAAAAAATATATTACTTTTGTGTAAAATAAGTATTAATAAGGAAAGAGTCTATTGAATGGATTGAATGGGTTTTCGCTCCCCTGTTCTCTTATATATCATTCTCTCTCTCTCTCTCTCTCTCTCTCTCTCTCTCCACTCTCACATTAAATTGAATTTAAGCGCCAGTGCTTACGAGACCACAAGAAGACCCGGTGCTAAAAGTTTTAAACTCATAATTAGAGAGCAAAAAGGTTTATTCAATTTTGTTTAGTAATTGATGGCATTGGAAAAAATAATGGCATTTCTCATTGGTTTCTACTAATAATAATCGGATGATCGCATCGAAACATTACTATTGAATTGATTACAAAATCACTGACTTTTGGCCCGTAATTTGGTTGATGTCTCCCATCGGTCGGTGTCTCTCAATGGAAAAAGTTTTGGACCAAAATTTAATTCATTTCATTCATTCATTTCATTGGCAGAGAAGCAGAAAAGTGATTGTTTTGGCCATCAATTGAAGCCTCACTTCAAACTATAATTTCTTTATTGTGTTAGTCTTTCGTACAAATTTCATGAACACATTATAAGCATTATCTGCCAAATTGAGCGCTTATTAAGCAAATGCTACCTTTGGTTAGGGGGTTGTTAGGAGGTTAGGGGCCAGTAGTCTATCCGTCCAAACAAACCAAATATAAAATATGAAAAATTGTTACAATAGATAACAATGAGTGAAGAGTCCGCGGCTTAGACTTTGATGTGAGAGTAATAGTGAATAATTTTGTTAACAATGTTAACAAATGGACTCGTTTTCTATTGATTCAAACTATAGTGTGAGAGAGAAATGTTGCAGAAAATGGTTAACAACACAAAACTTCGGGCATTTTTTGAATGATATAATCGTTTCCATCAGTTTCTTGTATATGAAGTGCGATTGCATGGACTATAAGTCTATTGTATTGCACTTAAAATCATTACAAAACCAAAACGGTTATCAACTGTTGCCGGTGTCTTACCACACGTTATATACTCTCTGTCTATACATTACATAATATATAAAAACATTTTAGCGTTTACATCGGCAACAAATATATTTTATACATTAAAAGTATATATAAAGTGAATGTGTTATTCACTCTAAAGAGTAGAGTCGGTCTTAAAACCAGTGGAGCATCACTTGTGCCACGAAATAAATTAGACTTTGATGGCCAACTAGAGAGAGAGAGAGAGAGAGAGAGAGAGAGAGAGAGAGAGAGAGAGAGAGAGAGAGAGAGAGAGAGAGAGAGAGAGAGAGAGAGAGAGAGAGAGA